GAATTTACCTCTTCAGACACAAAGCTAGTCTCCTGTTCTACAAAATTAACTTTCTCCGAGTATTCGTTTTTTCCACTAAAATCAAACTTATCTTTTTCAAATTAATATTTCTTGCCTCACAATACTTTTCAATATTATATACGATCTAAAAGGGGTGTCTGTTCCCTCTACATAATAATATATGTCTGTATGTGTTTCGTCTGGCCTTTTAACTGCTTTTCTTTGCCAGTTTTAAGTCTGATACTTCTTTCGGGAGTAGATTTGTCATCTGACAACTTTGATTTCTTCTCTAGAAGTTTCCTGTTCTTCATCTGATTCTGCTAATAGCTTCAGATTCCTCTAGTCTTTTAAACTTAGTTTTTGATTTCTGTATCCAGGATGCCATTTGCTACATTGTTTTTCATTCGAAAGTTCACATTACAGGTTTCTATTAATCTGCGTTCTTCTAATAGCCACATTCGATAACCTTTTAGTTTCCTTCACATATCCTACCATGATTCCTTTCTTTGCACCTCACTTGTAATTTATTTCTAATCTGTTTTGGCACACCAACATAGGCTTTACAAGCCAAATATTTAAAATAAACAACACTGGGTTTTTCTATTTAGGGACATTTCATAAGAGGTTCAGTTGCTTTTATGACATACTCTGTTCCTCGTATGTACAAAACAGCCAAGAGCTCTGCCCACCATTCTTTTCCCATTTTACCATCATAAGCATAGCTTTAACTGCGTCTAATGCCGTTCATGTTAAAACGTTCACACACCCGTTCTCTTCTGGGGTGTACCATTTGTGCGTTCAACACTAATTCCATTTCGGCTAAGTACCCTTCGAATTGTCTGTTACAGAATTCCCCACCGTTATCGGTGCGTTACTTATTAATTTCTATTCGTCAGTCTTTCCATTTGCATATGATAATTCTTAAAGTTGTAGAATGATTCATTTTATTTTTTCATACAATACACTGTTACTAATCTACTATAGTCATCTACAATAGCAAGAAAATATTTACTCCCACCCTTAGATGGAACTGGTAGTGGGCCACAAACGTCTAAATAAACCAACTGCAATGGTTTATCCGATCTCTTCGGAACAGTTTTAAAAGTTATTCTACTAGATTTAGCAATAATACACGATTCACACCTCTCTATTGGTTTTCCAATTTCTGGTAACCCTTTCACGCTTTGATTCTTACTAATTTTCTTAATATAATCAAAATTTACGTGGCTAAATCTCCGATGCCACAGCATTGCATCGTCTACTTTATTTCACTTTCCAATTTCTGTACCGTAACCAGCTTCCCTTTTATTTGTTGTATATCTAAATGGTTTTACGTGATAAAGTCCGTCATATCGTTTAGCGTAGCATAATCTATCCCAATTATTAAAGTATATCCACATCTTCCCTTTTGAAATCACAAAATGAGCACCTGGCTTTTCTAACCTTGCTCCCGATAGTAAATTTCTCCTTAGATTTGGATTATATAACACATTATCTAACTCAATCCAATTTATTTGATTGCCTACTTTTACTGCAAATTTGCCGGTACCCTTTCCTAGTACTTTTACTTCACAATTTCCTACAGCTAAAGACATACGTATATCGTTTTTTCTTCAAAATTTGTCATTAAATTTCTATTATTACAGAAATGAGTTGTAGCTGCAGTATCTACGACCCAATTAAATTTATCTGCTTACCTCCTTTATCTGTAGTTGTTATAATTTTCTATTAACATTAATTCTTTATCTTTAAACTGTCCATTTTTATCGTCTATTTTAAACTTCTGATTTTTACTTACATTTTCTTTACATTGAGCGATTAGGTGCCCAAATTTATGACATCTGAAACAAGGTCCTATTCTCAAATTCACCATCTTTTTCTTAGATTTAGCTTTATTTTCAACTTTATCTTTCCCTGCATTTGAATCAATAGTATTAAACACGCTTACCTTGCTGTCTTCTAAATCGGCCTTTTCCTGGCGAAGTCGGCTTTCTTCCCTTACCAATTCTTCAGCAATTCTTTCCAGCGTAAAATCTTCGCCTTTCCACCTATGGATCAACTGTACAACGCCAGAGTATTCCTGGGGTAATCTCCTTATTGCCTGGAATCCTTTAAAAAGATCTGCCAAGTTGTGACCAGCTTCAGCGAACTTCTTTGCAGCCATTCTTGTCCTGGCGATGAATAATCCTATTTCTTCATTTGGCGTATATCTAATACTAAAAAATTCATCCAGTAACTGAATTATCCTTGCTCTTGTTTTGAGTTCGAATTGCTTCTGTAGAACTTCCCGTGCTTCCTTACCACTTGAACATTCTTGTAGCACGGCCTGAACTCAGCTTTAATTCCGTAATATAATGTAGTGAAGGCTCTGTTCTCTCTCAGTGTGAACTCCTGCTTTTCATGCCTTGTTGCACTTTTATCTAATTCTTCTTCTTTGTCTTCTATGAAGCTCCAACAATTTCTATCCAGTAACAGCATTTTCATGTCGACTTTCCATCGATCCCAGTTGTCATGGTTTAACAACTAACTCAAAACCTTCAGGTAGTAATAACATCTTCAATTAAGTGTGAGCACAATGACTTGAACAAACTTCTAAGATAGGTCAGCTTCTTTTTGTGGAAAACGGCCCTCTTCACCTACATTCCTTCAATGCTGAGTTGAACTGGATGACCGACTAGCTGTCTCGCTGGGCCCATAACCCTGTTGGCAGTAGTGATAAAGGCAAAGCATATTTTGCTCCCCTTAAATTAAGCTAAGACTATTCTAAATAAAATTCATGCTTTATTCCGTAAACAAAATAAAAGAGCTAACACTGTAGCCTTTACATTAAAACAATTTGATTGAAAGAAAACTAGCATTATGCTAACTCATAACAAACACAAGAGAACAAGAACATTCGCCGATACCGGCGTACATATATATATAATACTTGGCCAACCCGCCGATTTTGACGTCATCGGCCAATCAGCGGCAACCACGTTAGCTTACCGCCGATCGACCTCCGATCAAAATTTGCATGTGGAAAACTAAAGCCAACAACATTTAGTAAGGAATTATAAGCCAAATAAAATAAAAACATCTGCCGTGAAGATAAGGATAGTGCTGACAGATCAACTTCCAATTCATTGTGCGCTGCGTCGTTTCCCTCCCCCCGCAGAGCAGCGTGAAATTGATAAACTATTCAGAATGTTAATAATCAAAGGATATGCCTTTATCCATTTTTTGCAGCAATTCCACTTTTTGTTTAATGGACTTCGAAACATACTTTCGCTTTGTAGATCCTTTACATATTAGTAAATATATATCAGAAATTCTATTTGACATAATCGAAAGTTCAAGCTTACTTTTATAAAATTGCTCTAACAGTCTGCAAAAAATATTAAGCTGGATCCAATATGAAGATTAAGGAACAACGCAATCTGCAACATTAACTGAATTAGATAATTTTAGCTTAGCTTATACCGTCCATTATACATTAAACGTGCATGCGTAAACGTATTATGTGCATGCGCACACGCATATTCGCAGCCATAAAGGTCTTACGCGCACGCGTAAACGCCTATGCGCATACGGCAATGCGACGCATGCGCAGAAAGTTTGTAACTTTGAGGTCCGTATTATAGATCATTCTGGATTGTGGGTGTCCGAATTAACGACTTTTGACTGTAATGCATATACACTGTCAGAAACAGTGTCGGAAACTCAACTCAGTTCTCGAAAAGACGGTTTAACTTTTGTAAAGAAAAATATTCTAATTTTTCCTTACATAAATATATATATATAATGTTTAGGATTACATGAAGTAGAATATTTTCAAAGTTACAGGATAAAGAATAAAAAAAGCCACAATACTAAACTTTGTAAATGGATGTCGATGTAACTCGAAAAATTATGATAATCAATGTAAAATTTTTATGTGCTATACCAGTCGTTTGTATCTCAGTATTATCTAACTAAATAGCTCTTCATTTAAACTTCTACTAGAATTCTACTAGAATGAATGGCAACGTCTTTACCAAATTTCATGTTTATAATTTTAAACATATGCTTTTGATATCCAAGTTGTTAACAAATAAGATTATTGTTTTTATAATTTTAGAGCAGAAATTTTTTAAGTTGATTTTGCTTTTATAATGCAATTTGCATTTTTTATATGCTCAACTGTTCGGAAATTTCCCATATTTGAAATTCGGCATTTCCCAAGCTTTCTGGATAGCTGACCTTTTATTGTATTGTGATAGTTTTTAATGGGAAAAAGCATTTTCTTTTTAAGGGAGTTAAATGCAAGGAAGGAAGTAAACCAAATATTGGTATATCTTAAGAGCTTAAGTGAATGTGGCTGTAGGATGAAACTTTCTGAGAGTGAAAAGATTATTTGATTGTTATTGGCATCTGTTTGGTTGGAACATTTGCTTTCTCAAGAGAAGTGTAAAATCATTACATCAGTATCAGGAAGGGCATTTAAATGCTTTTCAATAAGATTAGATATGGAAAATGATTGTTTTTAAAGTTGTAAACCAGGTGGATTGTCATGTGTAACACTTGTACCCTCCCTCTAATAAGTATAAATTCAAAAGAAAAAACACATAGAAAGTAGTTATCTAAAGTGATTAAACAGCTATTTCTACTATAAATGGATATTTGAATTCTCGGGTAGCATATTTACTTATTTGTTTTATTATTAATGAGATGCTTAATTGAAATTTTCTAATTGCCATGGTTTCTCCAATAGTATGATTTAACTGAAATTTGCTATTACCATGGTTTCTCCAATATGAAGCTCACTTGTGGCTTTATGAAGTGAGGAGCCCACCTTCTCCAAATATTTGAGAATCCCTTGTTTTAAGATGCAGAATGTATTTGCTAAATTTTTACACTTTTGTATTGTTCTTTGAATCTAGGATGTAATTTTGTACCCTCATGGCTATTTGCATGATTTTACAAATCTCCCTCTGATAATGCCACACTTAACATGCAAATATTTGTTTTCTTTACAGAGCCAGTTAGAGTTGCGAATACATGAAAGTGATATGTCAGATAGTGATAAAATTAAAACACTTCAAAGAGAAGCTGCTAAAGAATTAGAGCCAGTAAAGGAACCAAAAAAGGAAGAAGAAATAAAGCGGCCTGCTCCAGTGAAAAGACCGGAAGTTCCACCTCCCCCTGTACCTCCTCATGCAACACCTCCTGTACCTCCACGTACTGAACTTCCTCCAGTACCACCTCATGTTGAAAAAACAGATATTCCAATATATGCAAAGGTTGTGAAAAGAAAATCATCAGCTAAAACTCTAGTTATTAGTGAGATGAAAGCTCATCGGAAAGCTAAGGAAGAAATGAAACCTGCTGTTCCTCCCAGAATGTCGCTTGAATTGAAAGGGGACATTGATCTCACAAAGTTTAGAGCACACACAATTAATATCGATGTAAGTTACTTAGCTTTTGTACCTTTTATATTCTCTTTATTCAATATTTTTTAGGCTTTTAATTCAGTGATTTAATTTAAAAATTTCAATTTACTGTTAGTTTTATGCAGTCACACTGGCATGGAATTTTTAGTAAAAATATCCTAAATATTAACTGATGGCAAGAATAACGTAATAACATTCAATTTGATTAGTGATAAAGAATTATTATTATTATTATTTTGAAGTCTAATATGAGCAACTTTGCTGTCAAATAACTCAGAAATATTTCAGTTAGAAAAATAGAAATCTCTTTAAAATCTGAGTTTTTATTATATTTCTAAATAAATCCAAGAAAACTTAACCAAGAAATTCCCCATATTTTAATAATTTTTAGTATTTTCCTGTAATCAATAAATTTTTTAACAGGGCTGTGTCATAACTAATTGCATAAAAGTGATTTTTTGAGTATTATTTTATTGATACATATTTTGCCACTGAACTATTATTGTTTTATTTATCTATTAGTTTTAAAGTTGTTTCCTTATTATAAATACATTTTTGACCTTATTTTTATGTTATCAAATGTGTATTTTAATGTTGTCAGTTTCCTCATGTTACAGTTCTCCAGCTTCTGTATTAATACGGGATAAATCTTTGTTGCCAGCAGTTTAATATCTGTTATAATATCTTTGTCATAGGTTCCACGTCGTAATCTGGAAAATGTTCAAATGCTATTTTTTTATTCCTTGCAACTTAATAGTAGGTAAATTGGGTAAAAGTATATTTACAGGTACCCCTTGTTGAAAATTGGTGATTTTTGGCAGCACATGGATACCGAGTTTGTGCAATTCTTTGACTTGTTATTTTGGCTTTGAGTAGTGGCGAATTTTAGCGGTAAAATTGCCGCCACACAAAGACAAAATAGCAAGTCAAAAAATTGCACATACTCGGTTATCCATGTACACACTGACCTGTTTTCACTTTAAAAAGAAATCACAGAATTGCACAAACTAGGCATTGCGCACTCTCTTGTCTTTATCCATGTACACGTTGACCTATTTTCACTTAAAAAAAAAAACAAACAAAAAAAAAAACAAAAACAAAAACAGAGAATTGCTTAAACTTGGCATTGTAGACTCCTTTTTATCCATGTACACATTGATATATTTTCACTTAAAAAGTTAAATGAGCACCCAGTTCTACAGTAGAGGCAAACAAAAAATACGTAATCTCAATAAACTACATTTTAAACCAAACAATAGAATAACATAAAAAAGGAAAAACCTCTTATGCATCTAAGCACTACACAAAGCAAATATCCACTTACCTTATTTAGAAATTTCTTTGTCTTCAGTCTTTGTTACACAAAATTCCTTAACAAATTCCAAAAACTTGCTAAAATTATTTGAACTCGAATCCGTATATCGGCGTCACCACATAAATTCACAAAAATAAGAGTAAAAATTATCCTCCGTAGTTCTGGACAGTCCAGAAAATGGCTGCTAAGTAAACCTTCACTTCTGCTAAGTAAAACTTCACTGGCTGCTAAGTAAAACTTCATCAGTCAATTAATGCTCTTTTCCCCTTTCATTCCAAATCGTACCGAAACTTCATATTAATCTTACTACATTCAGCCAGTCTATCGTCTAAGCAACAAAACAAACAATGTACTTCCTAAATAATGCACACTGCAAGTCCTTACAAAACATCCCATAGTTCAAAATATACCGCATTCATGCAACTGATTACATCATAGTAGGATTTCCATAACATTCATCTACTTAGGTTACCATAAATGAAACAGCAACTTGGCGATAAATGAAAGTACAACTTCACTATAGTACAAGGGGTACCCTTTAGTCTACTCTAACCATAAATTGTTGTTTTTATTATTTTCATCTTCAGCATTGTTTCCCAGACCAGTGCACCCAAAACAGTTTTTAATGGTGGATTCTGTAATGAATCAAGATTTTTCTGAATTTTCAAAAGAAGAAATGCTACAATCTACATTTTGACCAATCTTTCTGAAATGGATAAGCTATTTTTAATAACACTTTTCTTGATATTTCCTTGGTCTACAAATTGTATAGAAATTGCACTCTGGGACAAGAAAATAACAAATTTTTTTTATCTGTCTATGCAATACAGTTATCTATTAAGAATAAAATACTTTTGAGCCAAAAATTCTTCATCCTAGTTTTGTAGTTGTTTCTTCAAATAACTGTGATACTGTTGTGCAATGTAATTGCCCTTATAGGAGATGGGAAGAATTTTCAGACTTTTTAAGTGTTTTGGCTTTTGAAATTTTTCAATTACTGGGGAGCTTGCAGCATTCAATTTAGTTAATGTTGGCACACACAAGAATCAATGATTAACAAATATTGATAGTTTTCTGCTTATATATAGTGTGTCTTTAAGTTTTAGTATTTAGTCTGGCATCAATTTATGAACATCTCAGCATTATCAGTGCTGAAAATTTTTCTTTTATTGTAATAAAATGTAATTACAGTGAAATAAACATTGGATTGCTTCTGTCATTGTAATGATGAGAGATATCATCATGTCACTTCATCAAATATTGAATTTCTGTGTTAAAACTAAAATTTTTTTTCAAAGAAATGTTCCACTTCTGGTTCAATTATTTAAGCATGAAAAGGCTGTCTCTTCAAATTGTATGATAAATTAATAAACCTTTGTTTGAAAAATTTATCCACATGCTCTCTGAGTAAATTTGCTATGCTATAGTTTGAAAGATCCAGCAATAGAGTTTTGAAAGGTTTAACCTTTGAAATATAAATCTGCAAATTTATTCATGTTGCATCAATTCTTATTGCTTTTTCTGGTTTCTGTAGCAACTTCTGAATAATACTACTACAAATTTTCTCAGGTTATGTTGATTCATATTGTTTATTTCAGGTGTCTTTAGCATTTAATTCTGGTGTGTTCTTTTATTGCATTTGTGCAGATACGGATGGATTCCAACTTCTGTGAATCATAAAATATTTCTCCAATACTTTTTGCACATTGGGGAAATTTATATAATTTCATTATTTGGCATTTTTGAACTTTTCTCTCACATTAAATTTTTTTTTTCATGGGTCAAAATTATAAAGTCTCAATTCTTCCACAACGTACTGAGTGTATCTGGATTCAGATAAATTGTTTACCCAACAAATGTTAGCTTGACTACCTCCATTTGGTATTTTTGAACAATGCTTATTTTATCTTCAATGCAGAATGCTTTATGTTGATTGAAATTATGGATGAATTTTGGGTACAATAAGGTTTTGTCATTACAAACTGAAGAGACTGAGATTAAAGAATAAGATGTATTTCATTCTTTGTAGTATTCATACATTTATTATTAGACAAATTTTTAGAGTGAGATTTGACTGAAGTTGGACATGAAATAATACTGTTTTAATTCAGTAGTGAATGTGTTTAGGAATTCAGATTTATATTTCATATGCTTATTATCAAGGCTGATTGTGGGAAAACAAGATTCCAAATATGTACTTTGATAAATTCATGCTTACTTAAAAACTATTATTTTAAATCAGAGTTAAACATAATGCACATGAATGATATGGGACTTAATAAAAATGTGTATTCTTTGAAGATATACAGGTTAAAATAATTAAAAAAATTTCTAATAGGAGGAACTATGAAAATGCAAATTTTACTTAAATTTGACTTTGAATTATACTTTGAAATTATGACAATCTGTTGTTCCATGGCAGAATAGTTGATATTGGTATTTTCTTTCTTTATCCAATACTGACTGTTACATCTTTAAGTGTAAAATAGTTACCCCCCCTCTTTTTCTTTTCTAATAACTCTGAGTGGCTGCATGATAAGAAATTAGTTTTCTGTACTGTGGCTTTCTCTTCTGCATTACTTAAAATCTCAACGTGTTTTTAAATACTCATGACACGGTATCTAAAAGATATTTCAGCAACAGTTTTTTAAACATTATTTACTGTAAAAATGCAAACACATATCAAATCATTTTCATTATTCCCAGGGATGCTTTTAAAAAATCTGAGTAGCCTCCATTCATTTTGAATTAATCAAGGGACTGGAAGTTTGGTTTCCTTTATCCTATCCTGTAAGAAAAATTGATTATCTTGTGAAAATGTGTGAGAATTGAGTAATGAATCGCGCACACACAAAAAAGGGGGGGGGAGAAGAAGAATAAAAAAGAAGAAGAAATTGATTACATTTGTCACATCAACCAACCAAACAAATAATAAATCTAATTTTAGGGGGAAAATATTGAAATTTATTTGCAATTATTATTTCACACAGTCATTAAATTGATGGCTGTTTTTGTCCAGTTTCACTATATGTTAGTAAATGTACATGTTAAAATACTTAGTCTAAACATCATGGTTCTGATCCTTCCCTCAAATTAAACATTTGTAGCTGTAAATAATTATTCTAGCCATAAAAATGTAAAACTTTAGAAATGAATAATATAAAATATCAACAAATTTACTTTTAACTTTTACTTAACCTTTAAATACAAAAATAATCCATAATTTTTTATTGGTTTGACTGCCATTGCAGGAAAATATTATCCATACGTTTGTCCCAAAATTGAAAAATTCCATCACCTTTCAGTTTACAGTTTGAATAAAAACTTAATTATACCCACTGCAGCCTTGGCATCTACCGTGGTAAGAAATTCACTTTCCACACGTTGCATTTGTTCAATATTTTCATCAGCATTAAAAGAGCCATTGATGTTAGCATTTCCCATTTTAATTTCAATAACAATATCTTCATCACTTGGATCATACATGTGCATCACCAATGTTATGATTGCATGATTGAAAAAACTGTATATCAAATTCTGAAAATATTGAAATACCATTTTTGTCTGGCCATTTAGTGGTAGGTAAAGCCTCATTTTCATCAGCCTCTACAACACCCCTTGCTAGACCAACATACCACTAACAATTTCAGATTGTTAGTGTATGTTTGTTACAGTACTGGTAAAGTGTCATCACAAACATTTGTGTTCCTTTTTCCAACATGCTATTTTGAAATGTTGCTTAATACTCTAAAAAGTTTTCGTGAAGAAATGTTGTTTTCTTTCGTTAACCTATCTAAGTAGTCATTTGAGCACAAAAAATTCAGTCTGTCCACAGTGTCTGACAGATTCATTAGCCTCTACCTGAAGCATTTGTTCAGATATTGACAGATGATGGCATCTTTGAATGGTGAATTGTTTCAGTAGGCTTTTTCAGCATCTTTATGCTGGGCTTTTCTCAACCTTTTCTTCATATCCAAAATTTTTTCATCAGCAGAAATGATTTAGTCTCTATTTTTCCAAATGGTACCAACTGTAGATTTGGATAAACTGTATTCTTGGCAGATATCTATCTGTCTGCAACCGTTTTGTATTTTTCAAATAATATGTACCTTATCCTCAATGCAGGACGATTTATACAACATTCAGATTCAACATACAGATGAATTTACCTTAGGTGTTGCAAAAGACTTGAAGTCCCTTCAAAGGTCAGACCTTGGAGAGTATGTATACCCAAACAAAGCAAATTAATAAGAACCAGAACTTTATTTCCTAAAGGATAATTTAGTTGTATAGCCCCTAAACTCGTAAGAATGTATTCACAATTTCCAATGTATCTAAAAAGCAAAAATTTCAAAATTTTCATCTCGGCATCAGATTTGAATAGAGCTGAATAGAGAACAGAATCTTTGAATAGAGAATAGTCTGATAGCTTAGTCAAAGAAATTTGAATGTAATCTGAGAACTCATTAACATTCTTTGATTCAATGGTGACAGTCACCATATGGTGTCCTAAGGTATGTTTGTGTCCTCGTTATCCTAGAGTTGAGTGTCACATCTGTCTCACATAAGCCTTTGTTTAAAACACAGAGAAAATTGGGAGGGGGGGTTAAAATAAAAGAAAAGGTAAAGTTTATTTCCTTTACAGATGGAATGCAGATCTGAACATCATAAACATGAATGATTTTTATGGCTAGTATTTTTTATTTTTTAAAACTTGCAGAAAGTATGAGAAATATTAAAAAAAGTTCAGTTCAAGATATCCAAAATGTTTGTTATATTCAATTTTTTCAAGTTTGAAGGTTTGCTGTAGTAGTATAGAATAATAGAAAGAGTATAGGGAAAAGGGCCTCGAGACTGAAAGGTTAGTTCCTTGTATTGGGGGGCTCTAATATTTGGTGGCAACAATTTAAAAAGTGATTTGCCATTTATAGTGAATCAACACAAAATGCCAAAATGAAATAAATAGTCCTTCTGTGCAAATTGCCCCTTTGGACTAAATAAATTGAGGCTTCTAAGTGTATATGTTTAGGTGGAGGACTGCATGTGTTCAAAACTTGTTGGCTCTTAGGTGTGACTGTTTCTTCATGTTGTGAAGAACATACATACATGCATGTTCTTCATGTTGTGAAGAACATACATACATGCATGCATATTTTTCGTTATTTAATAAAAGAGATATTAATTAAAGAAATTAATTTTATTTTTTTACTATCCCTCTGTAGTTTGAATAAGTGTATAGCTATAAGAATAATAACTGGATTTGATTAATTTCAATAATAGAAACTGCTGAAATCAGCATAATGCTTAACAGGCTTTGTATTTCAAAATTAATTCAATTATTTTATAATTTTTTTCTTTTTCTCTTAATCTTTAAATTGAAAGCTTTTTGTCATTACAGGGCATACCAAAAACTGGATTTGATTTTTTAGACAACTGGTAAGGCTTGCCAAAGATACCTTCAATGCCAGGAGATCTTCATTTTGTATATTTATTAATGAAATTTGGATTTGCTATCTGCTCATTATCGCTCATAAGTCATACTACTTATAGACTCAGCATGAATTTTTGTAGTGTTTTTATTATGACATGTATTTGTATAATTACTATTTCATGTTGCTGTTGTAATTAATGTGATATGTGATGTATTTATTATGCAAGATGTTTCACTAGATATTTCTCTCAAAGAACTAAATTCATGTTTTCTCCACTGCACACAAAAATATGTTTTATTTTGAAATGACTGTGAATTGAGTGGTAGTAATATTCATAAAATAACAGTTTCTGTAGATTTTACAATCATATTAAGTCATTTAGTTGAAGGTTATTTAGTCTGTGTGCAGAGTAATTCCATCTTGGAAAATGTTAGATGACAGTCTATAAAAGGAACAGCTTGAATTTTTAGTGAAACTTGGGAGATGTCAAACAAAAAAGAAGATGTTAAAAAAAATTTGATGCCACAGGCTATGTTTCTTACTAGTAGAGTAGCCAGACTTCTTTTTTAATGAGTATTTATCACATAATTGTGGCCACTTCTTTCCATCATTTTAAGTCTACCCAGATATGAGATCCTGATATAAAAATACAGTACAAAGTCCGAGATCCAGCATTGTCGGGACTTCGGTGATTCCAGATTTGGGATTTTTCCGGATATTAGATCATCAGTTTAAATCTAGTGAGATGGCATGCAGAAATTATAAAATTAAAAATATGAAATCATGATTTATGAAATAAGGAAGCCTCTATGATCTAAAGGATATAAAAATTTACAAAAAAAAAAAAAAAGCTTAATATTAATTTGTTTACTTTATTAAACATTTCTTTGAATATAAACAGTTTAAGCCTTTCTGGTGCAATGTGTTCGGTATGAACTTACGAAAAATATTCCCTCTTTAGACACTGAAAATAATCAATAAATATCACGAAAACTACACTGATGGTTACTTTTATTCTCTTTTATGAATAATAGATGGCAGCACCACACAAGCAAATTATTAATGTTGAGTGTTTTACACTGATTTTAAAAAGAAATGCTTTAGATTTTTTTTTTTTTAAATATAAGCAATTTCAATGAAAAAAATCCTTATATAATTTTGTTATTCATATGCGAATCTGCCTATTCTGCATTACTTTTAATTTTTATCTTTGAAATATTGCATATAGTGAAGCCTTCAGTGTATGGTGTGTTCAGACTGAACGCACTGTACTGGTAGCGCCTGTCATGTGGGAATGAGTCACAGAATTTGGTCTCTTGCTTCAAACACGGGGGAGGCTGAAAGTGCAGATTTATTTATATTTGTTTTTATTCTTTTCTGTTTTTAGTTTTGAAGATTCTAGTGCTTTGTTTTCACTTAGCTATTTGATTTTCAGCAAGAGCAGATCCTTTTTTCTCTTGCTTTCATCGTGCGTAGTTTGCTTAGTTTTGATTTCTGTAGATTTTTATATGTATATATATTTAATAATTATTTTTTCTAGTCAATAAGTAATTGTAAATATTATAGTATTTTAATTAATTTTCTTATAAATTTTAAAATTGTGTAAATGGCTTAGAGAGGCCTCAGCATTGCTGAAGCAATGGAGTTTCCTTCCTCCCTGATTTTTTTGGGGGGTGTAGATTAGCAGGTCTCTCCCCCCCCATGGTGCACCCTGGGTTATGCTAAATCTGCTACAGAGATTTAGCATAACCCATACCCCATACATTACCCATAACCCATACAAAATTTATTAATTTAGCAGATATGCAGCTATGGAGCCAAATTATTGATTACAAAAAATTATGCTAAAATAATTATTTCTTCAATAATGAGATATTTTATTTGGTACGGAAGTGAAATTAAGAATCAGGATTGCCCACATGCTTTCTTATGGGGGGGGGAAATCAAATGTGCATGCATAAAGCATTAAAACAAATTCCTAAAAAAATTTTTAGTGCTTTAAGGTCCAGATTTTAGATCATTCCGGATATTGGACGTCCAGATTTCGAACTTTGTACTGTACTTGAAATGCCATGCTTACAAAAATAATCTTCCTCGTTAAAAGATTTAGAAAGCAAAATTAGTGAAGTAATTAAGTTTATTAATGAAATGTGTAAGTTTTTTTATTATATGATGCATTCTGTGAATCCACACATCTGGAAGTGTGGGAATTATTGTTTTCATAATTTTTTATGAATGGTACTGCATTTTTATCCACTGTGTTATATTATCTAAACCATACAATATATTTCTAGGTATAAATATATTATAAATTATGTTTTTTTTTTTTTTTTTTTTCTTTTTGAGGATGTTACCTGGTGAAACACGTTGCATTGATTATTATAAATATCTTGGAATATATTGCTGTAAGATGTTTTTAAGGTCTCGTCTCTTTGCTCTTTTTAAAAAGAAAGAGTTCATTTCTAGAACTGTAATTAGAACTTAAATTTGAATAAAATATGCATCTAATCTATGTTGCCTGTCAACATATTGTTTAGCATCATATTCTAAAATGAGAGAATGTCAAAATGGCATGTAATTCAAATATGAATTTAAGCTTTTTTATAGAAAATGTTAGTTGTATCAGTGTTTTCAAGTTTTTTTTTATGAAGTATATAAATATGGATGCACACAATTTCTCACAAAATGTAGTTTGTGAAGCCTTTCATAAATACTTAAGTACTTTGACATAATTATCTAATAATCTACTTCGCATATTCTTTATCATTTATGCAGATAATGAAGAAAACTGTCATTTCATTAAATTCTTTTCCTTCCCTCCCCTTTTTCTTCTTTCTCTCCATCTTTTTTATGATTTTGTTGTACACTTAAATTGAAAATATATAAAATTTTATGTTATGTCTCAAAATGTGGAAAGATTTAATTATTATATTTTATTAACAAATGCATTTTAAGGAGTAAAATATTAATTGTAAATGCTATTTTATGCACTTATTTATCGAAAGTAATACCATCAGTCAAAACTGAAAATTATGTAATGCATTTTTATTGATGTTTTTAACATAAGATTTTATTTAAAAACCTACTTAATTTTTTCATTTTAACTGCTAGATTCTTGATGCATACAGACATTCATATATTCATACTTGTTTAATTACTGAATAGTTATTTACTCACTTGTAACTAGTTACTTACTATTTTTTTGCTATTTCTCAGTAGTTATTTACTCATTTGTATATCCTTCTTATTTATTTATTTATCTATTTACATTTTATGTGCTTATTTTCCTTACACTTACTTCCCCCCCCCCCAAGTTAATTCCTGAAAGTTTTATTTTCAGTACCAGCACTTTAAAACAAGATTTAAGATTTATTAGATAACGAATTTATATATGGATAAGATTCTTTTGGAACTTTTGCAGATAGATTGTATATTTCAGCAGTTAGAACTCAAATAATTTGGATTCCGGTTGACAAATTTGAATTTTAGTTGTTGAATTAAGCAGGCTGCTAGGAAGTTTCAAAGTAATCTTAATTTAAGATTTAAACTTTTGTCACTGATATTTTTGAAAACTGCTGTGTTCTGAATTTTGAGAAACACTAGTTATAGTCAATGAATAGCTTAATTTTAAAATACCAGAGAGGAAATTTTGTTCAAATACTTATTAACATTTTTAAATAAAGCATTATCACACATTTTTACTCATATGGAATGAACTGGTATTTTGATTTGTTTATTGTCTTAATAATTGGAAAATTATATAATAGTGTTGCACGTGGTTGCGGCTGTGTGCAACAACAAACTATACGTGACTCTGTAAACATGTGTTGTACTCGCCAACCGCGTGCCGTTATCACTAACTGTAACCGAAGGTGATTTCGGCGACACACAGTCACGTCTCGTCGTCGGTACGGTTGGTCGCTCGTTTGCCTCCAACGTGATTGTCTATCGACTGTAGTAATTAAGTTTTAATATTGTGATGCGATTAAATGTTTTTGTTATCAAAAATTGGCTCTTATGGCATGTTATGAATTCATCCTTAAAAGCACTGGCAAATTCCAATATGCATAGTTTGTTGTTGCACACAGCCGCAAGCACATGCAACAAACGGTGACTCGGACGTGACTGTGTGTCGCTGAAATCACCTTTAGTTACAGTTAGTGATAACGGCGTGCGGTTGGCAAGTACAACATATGTTTACAGAGTCGCCACAATAGCATTATTGACTAGCAACTAAAATGAAAAACAGCTGTTAAATTTAAACAAGGTTAAAAAATGCTTGTTTTATTATCATAGGCCTAATGATTGTCAAGTCTGATTAGCAAAGTTATTTTTTCATCATTGGTTAATAATTGACTGGTACATTTGTTTGACCCATTTTCTTATACTACTTTTTAAAGCACCTTCACACATTATGGTTTTTCTCCTTTAATCTCATCCCCTCTCTCCAGAGAACACTTTTTGGATCTTTTCGCAATCGTGATAGAAAAAGACCCTGAAAATACTTCCCTTTATCAAAAGCTATTGAAAATTTTCTTGCAGTTACATATGGATAATTTCTACTTATGTTTTCATAAGGTAAAATGTAGTTTAATATTTAACCATTTATCTTCATCCATGTATTAGAAAATATAATTTCTAAATGAAATTTCTAAATTTTAATTTTCTAATGTCAGTTTTGACTTCTCTAAATTACTTCATAATTAATTGAGAAACATTCTTAAAGATGGTCTCTGTAAGAAATGAGGTCTGCAAGTATACTTCATCTGCAACAAAAATATTACATGTTCTTCGTTTAGGAATTAACGAGTAATAACAAAATTATCATGTTTTCTATATATGTTAATATTACTCATATATCTACTTATACAAGTATTTAATTACATAAATTTTACAAAAGCCACTGAATAGTGATAGTTTTATATTAGCTTTATTAATGTGCGATTCTTGATGACAGTTTAAGAGTTTTCATTGTTTTTCCCGTTGCTTAAATTCAAGCAAGGGTAATGGTTTTTCTGAGAAATTTCTCTCTAAAAAATTATTTATAAACATTTAGATATTTTATGTCTTTCTCATATTTTCAAACGTTCAGATAATTTATGTAATAATATAAAACAATGATTAACTGGTAGTCCATGGCAAAGTTAATGAAATTTGTTATTATTGTCCAGATATCCCAGTTTATGTATAGTCAATTTCCTATTAGCCAAACCCTGTCTTGTTTTGTTGCTGGAAAATTTTATTTTAAATAATGAAAGAATAAAATATAAAAATGAAGTATAAATGTATAATATATATATATAGAGAGAGAGAGGGCGGATTCCACTAGTGGGCGGTTTTCATGTTTATATATAACACATAGTTCAATAAGTCCCAGGACTAACCGACAGATGGCACAGTAATATCAACTTGACTTCGTTGTTCGAAAGAACTAACCTTCAAATGACACGTGTCCTGATTTTCATGGCATTCAGACCGGAAATAGCGAAGCTACTGGGGTGAAAGTGGCACTACTTGTGCATTTGGTGGACAAAATGGAGAAAAACGAATTTCAAGTGTTGTTGATCAAATATTGCTATTTGATGGGCAAAAATACCGTTCAAGCTTAGCAATGTCTTGAAAAATGTTATCCAGGTTGTGCTTCATTGAAAACAACCATTTGCCGTTGGTATGCTGATTTCAAGCACGGTCGCACAGATTTAAATGATGGCGCACGCTCAGATAGGCCAAATGAAGCAATCACTCCGGAAAATGTGAAACAAGTGTG